TTCACACGTTTCCGGTGTCGGGAACCAAAATTTTTCATACTCTGGCTTTGGTTTGATAGGTTTCACGTCATTTGATTTATTCACTTGAATGAGCTGATTGATTTCATGTTTCACATTTTCCGGGTTGGTCATTTTTGCTAAAGCCAACGTTTGTGGGTCAATCGGGATGATATTTTTCATGTCTGTTGATGTTAAGATCGAAAAATTTGCGATTGTGCTCTTGTTCGGCAAAGTTATTACATGATCGGTTACATTAAGTGCTGAAATATACAGTTTGCTATCATCTGTAGTCTCACTGATTGATGACATTAGCGCAATATTGGATTCGTCTTCAAATTCGGGGACTGGTACAACTGTTCCGATAGTATTTTTAATGTCGATCTCGGTAAAACACTCTAAAAGCACCGTTTTCTGCGGCGGAATAACGTATTTCTTTGAAAGGATTACTGGTACTCGGAGCGCTTGTTTTTTATGTCGTTTAGAACTTGGGGTTTTGATTTCATTTATTTGAATTGTTACATCGGGAAATTTCAAAAGATCATATTTCGGACAAATTTGTACGTCGTGTTTTTTATAAAAACAGTTTCCTAGTATCATTGAATTCGCTGTTGGTAACACAAGGAAAATTTCCGTGAACGTTTTTGCTGCAATTTTGAAACATATTGTTGCTTCGATCTCTATTGGTACAAGTTGACCTCCGGCCATTCGTACTCGTTTCAATTTCGACTTTTGTGTCACTATTTCTTGATATAAGAATTTATCCGTTTTAAGGTCGTTGAAATTTGTCTGTGATATAACATTTGCACACGCTCCTGTATCGACCAGGGCGCGCCTAAAGGTTTTGGGTGCGAATTGAAGTTTGACATAAGAAAGTGTTTTGTCGCTTTCCGGTATAACAGCATATAAATCAAGTATTTCGTGTGGAAATGCATATGATAGCTTTTTATTGGAATTACTATTTTCGGCTTCATTTTTCCCCAATTTATTCAATCGTGAACGTTTTGAGGTTTTTATGTTTTTTCGGCGTCTTTTCGGTTTAGCGTTAGGTGTTTTTTGCTTGGTATCGTTTATTTCGGTTTTTCGTTCTGACTCTTGACTCGGTGGCGCTATTAGTTTTTTGACTGATTTTGGAATGGGAAGGATTGTCCCCTTCCTTGAGGTTTTGGTCTCATATAACATTGACTGGCGGTATGGTTAGGGTAACCACATGTATCGCAGAGCACAGGGGTTGATCGAATTACGGGCATATACGGGCCGTTTGGGGCTTGAATGTCAACGTTTGTTGCTTGCTGTTGGTTGACTGACTGCTGTTGGAAGTGGTTCGATTGTGGGTACTGGTTCTGGTAGTTCTGATTCTGGTAATTCTGATTCTGGTAATTCTGATTCTGGTAATTCTGATTCTGGTAATTCGATGGTCTCCTAGGCCATTGCTGCTGATTCCCAGGGGGGAATGGGTAAGGACTTCGGAAGTTTCCTCCTCTTCCTTGGTATCCGGATCTGAAGTTGTTTTGATAAAGGTACTGACCTCTAAAGTTATTATTCCCTCTGCTATAATGATTTCTGGGTGAGTATTCGTTCGTGTATTGTCCGGAGTAGGGTTGTCTCGGCTGGTAACCTCTACCTCCTCCACGAAATCCTCGTTGGAAACCACTATTATTATTTGGGAAACGATTCTGCTGATGCTGCTGTTCTTGTTGTTGTTGTTGCGTTTGCTGATTTGTTGATCGCTGTGCGGATGTCGATGCTTCTTGACGATCTCTATCGTTCATTTGAGTTCGAATTTCGTTCACTTGCTTCTCCATAGCTTCTTGCGTCGCAGTAAGCTTCGATAAGGCGCTGATAAGATTATCAGACACAGTCTCACTTATTTCGTTAAATCCATCCTCTGGATAATCTTCTTTTCTGCACATATCTCGGATGACCAGCTGTCTCCTTGCATAAATACAAAGGTCTTGTACCGTGTTACCCGCAGGCTGTTCCATGAGCTTTGCACGAAGCCATCCAGGCATAGCTTTTACAAACAGTCTTCGAATTTGTGCGTCTCGATGATCCCTTACTGCGTCCAACCGTTCTTGACGATGTGCAGTTTCTCTGGCATGTCGTGCTGCTTCTAATGCGGCATTGACAGCTGCTGCATCAATTGGGTCAGGAATTGGTATTTCTGGCGTTGGGTACGCTTTTTGCGCTTTTTTCTGTAAGGTCACCAAGAAGTTTTCTGGCGTATCCTTCTTTAAGTCGCATTTTTGCTGTTCCAATTTCAAGACATGGACTTCTTGGAGTTGCGGATTACTGAAATGATCGCGCAACGCTGTTAAGCTGTCGACTACGTTTGCTCTAGTCGCATCTGGTAATGTCTGGTAGAAACGAAGTGCATTATCACGCAAGTGGAGTTGTAGAAAATTCGCTTGTTGAGCCGGTAATACGCCTGCGACTCCGATGAATCCGTTGAAGAGTTGTTCGAATTGTGAAAAATCTTCGGTATCCGTCCCTCCGTACGGGTTAACTGAGATTTGAGCGTGCGCCATTTACAGTTTTATGATTTTCAGTCTGTTTTCAGTTAGGTTTGAACAATTTATAAAATTTATATGAACGAACTGGGTTGGTTTAATCACGAAAAAGCTGATATTTTAGCACAGCGCGGTTAAAATTGTTAGTAAGGCTAATTCAATGCTAATGCTGATTTCGATTTTAGAGTTTTCCGTCTTTAAGCTTCAATCTACTGCATTTACGCTCCTCCAATTTTCAATGATTTCCAATGATCATGATTGATTTCAATGTTTTTTGATTTGAGCGCACACCAATTTAATACTTCTCACTAATATATAGCACAAGAGTCTTAATAGTTTGACCTACAAGTTTGTAGAGACGAAAGTTCTCGAGTTTTCCAGTTACTTCACTTGAATGTAGTTTCCTCAATTGACAGAATCACAAAACACTCATTAGTAAGTTCACATTTCTGATTTGACACAGTTGCTGCGCTTGATCTACTGTTTCAGCTCGCCCTCAAGATGTCGTCTAGCTGGATTTCGTCTAGCTGGATGAGTGGAGATTGTCACTGTACTGTCGTTCGCGAACTATCGCCATGTAATGCACTGCTTTTATTAATTAAACCGCATGGTTTCTAGATGTTATTGCATGTTATTAACTGGAGTTGATTTAGCAGTATCTCAATACGGACGCATGGGCCCCGACAGCATGGATTCTATCTCTATCACTTTCTCAGCTGTTTGAATTTAACTTTTGTTAGTAAACTTTATTACTTTCAGCTAGCTCGATATTCAATAATATGTCCCAACTAATAACTCACTATTTACTTTTAATAAACACTAACTTGTTCAACTGCATGCTTGGGATTTTAACATTAATAATTTATGACATCAATTTCTAATATAGCACTTATTTCATGGCTATCAATAGCGTGCCATTTATGGGTACGCTACAATTGATTTCTCAGAAGCAGATTTACCAACGGAGTATCTGAAAATTAGCAACGGGCTACTAAAAAAAACAAAGAATTCGGCCAAAAATTCCAAAACACCCAAAAATATTATCCCTTTGGACAATTATTCTAGCAATGTAGGCATTATTCGCCGAATTTGGTTTAAAAAAAGCCCGCGAGTCAATTGTGTGCAGTTGATTTCAAAACTCTCCAGTAATACTCTGATTCGGCGTTTTATGTTCGTTTACACCAGCGGATTTAGGGACGACGCCCCCTCTCTCAGGGATTCGACCCCCGCCGACCCAAAGGGCCCCCTTTGTACTACTTTAAGATATTCATTTTTGGCTGACTGACCCCAAAATTTTTCTAAAGGCGCCAATATATACTAATTTTGATGGAGTGCGCGACGAAGAAAGCGATTTTTCTGGTCAAAATTTTCCAAAAAAAGCCTAAAAGCGCCTTTGTTGGCCTCTTATTTCAAAAACTTGACTAGGGCGCAGAAAATTTGAACAAAATGGGGTCTTAGTAGTGATTTGGGAGAGCTCAGAAAATCAATTTTCGAAATTTTTTGAAAACCCCCTTCGAGAAAACCCTAGATCCACCCCGGTTCGCTTACATAATTTTTTGGATAGACATTGTCATAATATGCTCTTGTTGTATTTGTGTGTGAAACTTGATACTTAAAAAAAATTTTGCAGGCCTTTTCCTAATTTCTTAGCAGTGACGCCTAGAATGCCAGTTCTGCAAGAAAAAATTTTCTTCTAATTTCGTTTTTTTTCTGCTTCCGTCACAATTGCTCACCGTTATTTCTGAATCGCCTGATTCGCATGTTACCTTTGTTTCCGAATTTAACCAAAAGCGGTCAAAATTAGAAGACTTTTTAAAATCATATCTCGGCTATTTTTGTCTAACCTGGGGCCGCGGTCTAGGAAAGTAGACAAGCAAATTAGACGTGGCCCAAAAAACGAACTTGAACGTCCATGCAAAACTAAAATCATGGGATTTGACGTCATTATATTGTTCTCAAACTTGTCGGAAAAATCCTTCCTGGCTACAATTAATTTTCGCTGACTACAATTAACTGTAGTTCGAGCTTCTCAAATGTAAATCATTTTTTGACATGCCAATTGTATAAATTATGCATTTGCAAAAATGTTTCATAATATTCGGATTAACGTTTAGTAATTCATTTATAATAAATAGCTTTATATGCAATGAGACTATGTACTCTTTTCGAATGTGAAAATTTGTTTTAAGCAATTATTCCGTTTTTTCTAAGTTCCGTTTTATTAGTGACGCCTACTTTGCTTTCCGTCTAAGTTGCTGCCACCCCATGGGCCTTTTTAATTCTAATAATTACTGCAGTCGGAGCTGCCCTTGTTAATATTGAAATTTTTCAACTACCTCTATTACAATTTATTTGCCCACTTCGAAGCTATACGTAGATTTTAAAAAATAGCGAAACGTGGTTTGCAATTTTTATTGAAGAAATATAGACGGCTGGGATAAATATTAGATTCGTGCAATTGTTTCATAAAGGCTGACTTGAATATCTACATACCTGCCCCCATCCTCAGAGTAGTTCTTGCTCCAGTTCCACTATGGGATGAGGCGGCAGATGCCGTACTGTGTTCACGCGACACTGGCATCAGTTAGTATCTGAAACTGTTACATTTTTGCATTCACCTTATAAACACATTGACCGTTTTTGAATTCTTTGAACAAAAAAAATTTTCTACGTTACAATAATGCTGCAAATTTATGTTAGAAAAAGCATCAGAACTTTTCTATCTATATTCACCAATTCACTGATTTTAAACCTTGCTTTAAAACATATTTCAAAGCAGAGACGAAGCTTCCCACAACTAGTGATACGGAACAAAAAGCATGACACAATGAGACGAAATTACACAGTAGATTTTTTTCTAAAAAGGTCAGAGAAACTTCTTATATCTATCATATTTTTGTAGGTCTGTCTCATATGGAGTTCAATTTGAACAAAATGCCGAAAATTCAATTGCCACAATATTAGCCTTGCCGCAAAATTTAAGAATCGCTATTCATGCCAAGAAGGTTTTGCTGTACGCCCGTTGAGCAAACTTGCTGCCATTTAAAATTAGCTTTAAACTTTTACGACCACCTTTCGAAGCACGCGCACAATAACGAAGCCCTTAAAATGAGGGAATACAAGACAACCAAACCAACATAACCGATGAGTCGAAGCCATTTTCACTAAATAAACATTTCAAACGACCAAAAAAAATCTATGTTCAAATTTCAAATAATAATCGATGGCCCTTAAGCTCTAGAAAATTCTAGAACTGTTTATGATTGACACTTTTTTGATAAACTGAACCCAATTTGAGAAAACTGGATAAATGAATATTTTTTTGTTTCGCGGGGAAAACTGATAATTAAATTACACTTTCGAAACTAAAAGTTGATCACGTTTTGCTGTTTGCCTTTCTTCTTTTAACAAAGGAACTGAACTTAAAAAGAAATCAAAAGTCAAAGAGCGATCAAAATTGTGCGTGAACAACTTTCAAGACTTTTTCCTGAAAGAAAACGCACAAAAAAATCACCAAGACATATTTGAGAGTACTCACTATGTTCATTAATGTTAATAAAGTAACATTATGAAAACTAGGTCTACCAAAAAATAATCTTTCGTATGTCTCAATAGAAGTTCATTATAGGCAAACATGCCAGACATTTTAGTATAAAATTAGCAACGGAACAAAACATAGGAAGAGGAAACAAGGCTGACAATATTTGAGCAGACACAAGTTGATCGGAAAAAAATATAAAACATCTTTGAAGTTTGAAGTCCCACTTAAAATTAAAATGAACAACACTTGTACTTGCAACTGCAATAAAATTTTCTCAGAGCATAAGGAACGTCCTTGATGTGGCAAGGGAGCCAATAATCTTTAAACAAACAGCAGTTGAGCCGAGAAGAAATAATAATTTTATTCAAAAAAAATAAAAAGTTTTAAGTCCCCCTGAAACTACAATGAACAACTCTTGCTCTTGCAACTACAATTAAAATGACTCACATCACAAGCAAAATCCGTGATGTGGCAACTAAGCCGACAAAAATTGAGCAGACTAACGAAAGTACAATTAAATTTTTAACGAAAAACAAATTTAATTGCATACTTACTGACAAAAACAAAGTCCGACCGGGACTCGAACTCTTGACCTTAGGGTGCAAAGGCGATGGCGTTACCTCTAGGCCAATTGGGAACAAACCTAAGAGTAGTAAAGCTTCAATAACAAAGCAAGAAAGGAAAGCAAGACTGGTTTGTAAGAAATGTTGTTTACGGAAAAAAGTCTAGTTCCCAATTACAAGACACTTGTTTTCGCAAGTGTAAATATGTCCGTCGAATGTATTCTATGCTTATCTCAATTAGAAACTCTCGCCAGCAGTACCGTCTCGCCAGAAGAGATTCCGTTCTAATGACCGTTTTTCCAAGCAATGGTTTTAAATTCTATAATGGGTTGACAAATTACAGCTATGTCCATATTTACACAATTATATTTTACAATTATATTGCATTTATATACATTTGATAGATTTTCATGAACAGTGAGTGGCATTTGTTGCAATGTTTTCTGTCATACAATAGGATTTTTATTCGGGAGGAGTGATATCAACTTTCACTCCTGAAGAAGCCGCATCTGCGCTGTCTTCTTCCAACAAAGCCGAAGTCACGAGTGGCGACGCTCCTACTGAAATCTTAGGAGTTCTCGCATCCCCTGCAATGGATGCTCTGGGGGAGCCGACCTCTCCTGTTTGATTCAAGTCGATATCCGAAGAGTTCAGTTTCAAGCTCACTTTATCCGAAACACTCGCTATATCTTTACCAGGCGACGCTCTAGCTGCCGCTGCATTTTGAGCCTGCTTTTGACCATTGGCTTCTGCTGCAACTTTTTTTGCAGCAGCCATTTCTTGACTCGCTAACCGTTCTGTAGTGGTTACTAATGCTCGCAGCATTATGTTGTAAGTCTCTGAGACGTCTCCTCTAACCATTAGCTTTATGTTCGTTTCCATCGCAACATTTGGATCATGGTCCGCAGGAGGAACCCAGGTTATAACCACTGGTTTCTGTTGTCCAGATTCCATTGAGCCTTTAGTTTGGTCCAGCGTGAAGCCTTAACACAGGAAACGAAGGTTTAAGTGGTATGTTGAATTTTTCCCATCTTTTCCATTTTCATTTTAACGAGCAATTTTTTCTCCAAAAACTTCACATGTGCATTGCTACTTGAATACACGTTACTTTTGTTCCGACCGTTGAAAAATCAGGTACCACAAATAATCATCGCAAAGTCCTTTCAGTCGTGATTCCAAATACATTTAACAATTTTGCGTTTTCTCAGTGTCGAGAAAAAACGGCTTGAAATTTTTAGCCTAACTTTGAGCGCAAAAAACAAGCGAGCCAGGTTTACTAAAGCAGAATAAAATGTACAAATTGGACAAAAAAATTGACAGCCAACAGACTGTCGGAAAATCTCTGGATCAATGGGTAAAGCTTTATTCTCGGCTGGAAAATCCAATTATCACACAGAGGTGCAGCGCAAGTGCATCCAAGTTGTATCGTATCGCAAGTGTATCCACTTGCGATACAACAAAAACAAAAAAAACGGAAGTCGAAAAAAAATTGTATTTGTTGAAAAAACAATGTGAAGCCAAATTTTCGTAAGTCTCGATTAAAAACAACTAGGGGGCCAGCTAAAGCTTGAGGTACGTGAATGATATTGAATGAATTTGCTATACTGATGCGCCGCGAAAAATGTGATTTCAAAAACTGAATTTCGCCCAAAATCTTAGTTCTCTACTTAGATAATAAAGAAAAGAAAATGGAGATACAAAAATTAAAGAGTCGCCGTTTCTGCAGGAACAATTATCGAAAGCGGTTCGTTCAATTGGACTTTTCACCTCAGATTTGATTGTATCAATTTTAAGAAAACTCAAAGATTCTAAAAATTGGTCAAAAGACTTTCCAAAATCCATTACTTTTTTCTGCAAAAAGCAGGTTGTTCCCGCTTAAGCAGCGAAGATTCCAAAACCGACTTTCTCGATTGAACACAACCTGAGAATTGGTACGGTAATTTTCGCGTAAAGTCAAGTTTTCAAAAACTGACCAAAGTTTCAATACTTTGACTTGTTTGAAGGCAATCACTTTTTTCTGAAACAAACTGGGCAGTCAAATAAAACCTGTTTTTGGTTGAACCTATGATATCAGATTTGGCAGGATAGCGAGAAAATTCCTATAAATGGTAAACAAATAAGAAACCTCCGAGAATCTTTGACTTTTCCGAGAGCCATAAATTTTAGTGCTAGAAAAGTTTGAACGCATAAGGAAATAAACTTCCCACAAATCGATCTTTGAACTGAACCCAAAACCTCAGATATGGCAGGGTAGTTTTCGAGAATATATGGTAATAAAAATTCAAAAACTTGAATTTTCCGAAAGCAATAATTTTTTAATTAAAACATATTTGAAAGGACGCTACTGCAGGAAGCTTCTGACTACCCGTTATGTCCCTTGAACCCAACATATCAGTTATGAGGTAAGTTTTTGAGAAAAAATTCTCAAAAATATTTGAGCGCAGCCGCTTATTTAGTGAGCTTTTCAAAACCACTAGTCATTGAAACCGAACAACAGACAAAAATATGGGTATAATTTCCCCCCACAGACATTTGCGAAAGCTGTAGACAGAGGATTCAATTAAAAAGAAAGTATGGGAAGTATGCAGGCACACAGGGGAGTAGGCGATCTTTTAATTGCTACCCCTTTTTTTTGAAATTTGAAAACTAAAATTTTCGAATATATTTGGAAATAATTTTCCAGAACGACAAAAAAAATTTCGACAAACCGATTGATAAACTCAATTGAGAAAAGTGCGGAGGGGAAAATTAAAACTGTATTTCCCTTGAAACGACCCAAAATTAAGTTATTAAGCCGATGAATAAAAGGCTGAAATAATTTGGGCCGAGGAATTTTCTTTAGCGAAACAAAATGCAAAGAAAATACGAAGTCAAGGTAAGAAAAATTACAAAATTGTAGGAGTAAATCAAACACTAAAAGTAACATTCAAAAAATGCGCGCAGCGAAAAAAACCAATTCCAACATGTGACAATTCAGCCGGCAAATACGCAGACAAACAAATGACCGACAATTTTATTTCAAACAGATTTTTCTTGTTTGAAACAAACAGGTCCTGGTCAGATTTGAACCTAGTACCTTTAAGACCCTTTGCCGTTCCAGGAATAATCGTTAACTCCAGGCTGAGTTGGCTGGGAAGAAATAGAAGCTATAATTCATTATGAACCAAGATACAAGTGATTCTGTTAAGCAAGTTGTTAACCCGAAAAAAGTCTATATTCCGGATTTGTTTGCTAATCGCAAGCGTAAAAATCCACTTCAAAAAAAGAACTCAGGTTTTTTGTTTTTTTTAACACTTTTTTTACAGTTCGCTGGTGGAGTTTGCTTTCCTTTTAACAAATAAAACGAAATAAAATTTAAGCATGAAACACCTTTAAGACGTTTCGTGAAAACAAAACCATCACGACCTATTTAACACTTTGTCTTTGTTTGAAAAAAAAATGTTGTCCAGTGTGCCTAATGTTTTGTCTGTTAAATATGCCCAAAATGTGGGCTTTCGTTCAGATCCTCTCACAATACTACGAACAAGAAAACTACACTTATTTGGAAAAATGCGAATATAGTCGGGACATTCTGCGCAACCTTAACAGCAACCGGCTATCCTTTTTTGATTCTGAAATTAGAAGCCAACGATCATTAAGTCAAATTTTGAAGTTTTAGTGTCGTTAATAAAGTTTAAATTCACTTCGCTCATTGGAACTTGTAAGCGAGCTGTATACAATTTACCTTTGGCAGTGAGCAGCTGAATATTATCGAACGTGAACTCTCCCCCTTTCTTCTGTGCCGATGCTGACGTCTTCACACTTCCCACGTATATGCTCTCCTGGGCGGGAATGATTTCATTACTTGTATTCACCCTGAGCGCCTTCATTTCCACTAGAATCGGAGTAGCAACAGGAACTGTTTTCGCCGCGTCTTCATCCGCCTCGCCAATCGTAACACCAAGACTTTCAATGGCCGGTGCCAGTTTCGAACCTCCTTCCACATATGTCGTGTGAACACAACCGACTCCTACAAGCTGTATTGAAGCGAACGGCAGGTTGAAGAGAGATAGTCGCATAACGTCTGCAAAGTTCAGACTAGGGTGGTCGGGAGTAAATTGAACAGTAATGTCCTGTTCTGATTTGGGTTCAATTTTCCCTTGCCAAGGAGTACAGTCAAAAACCAAGTCTCCATAGAGGTTTTGAGGACCGACATGCAATCCCTCCAGTTTCTCGGAATCGATGAAGTAAGGTAGCTTTTGGTTCTCTTTATGCATCGCAGGATTGTTGCTATCCTGCTCAATCAAAAACGGTACCGCAATTTCCGAGTTGTTCTTGATCGTAAAGACAGTTGGGACTGAATCTCCAGCTAAAACATGCCCGCAATCCAGCGAATTGCCAGTTATGCTAAGCGAAACGTCTGGCGAAACTCCAGTGCCTGTCAAAGTCAGAATCAGACTTTCATTTCCGTCAAAAGTCATCTTCATAGTCTCGTGGTACACAATCGCATCCGCTGGTGTGAAATTGAACAACAAAGTATGCGTTGAGTTAGCTTCGACGTCCAACAAGGCATTTCGGAGATCGAAAGGCCCGAATGGGTCCAAGGGTGTTGCCTTTGCATCGATATCATCATCCGTAATGTTTTGAATCGTCACTGGCCGAATCAGCGATTGACCGATCGCGACTTGCCCGAAATTTATAGTCGTTGATCCGGAATCCGAGATAACGATCGCTTTCGGTCTAACAGCTGGACAATGTACTTCCAAGTACAGCGTATTGAACACCGAGTAGGGAAGTTCTCCCGGGTTTCGCAACTTTCCACTTGCAATGTAGCACAAGATTGTGTGGCTATTGAAGCTGCCCTCAAACGACCTCAGCAGAGATCCTTTAGCAGCCATGTAATTATCCGAATTAGGTTGTATGTCCTCAGGTTTTAATTGGGCCACTTCGCGGAGAGGAATCGACTCAATTGACGGATTATCTTCGGTTCCGAATGAATCGATCCCCGCAGACGATTTCGAAGGCTTCTTCTTCATTTTGATTTTCTCGCTGTCTTCTGCTCTCTTGGCCAATAATTCGCGATACTTTTCCTCTCTTTCTGCCAAAGCGGCTTCGCGGTCTCGTTTCTCAGCAATTCGTACCGCTTCTTTCTTAACCTCGTCAGGGTCCAGTTGTGGCGAGAAGAGAATCTTGATCAGTTCCTTGGATCCAGGTTCGATAGTACCTACCGACGGCCACATATCAATCGGAGCTCCTTTTGGCACGCAGAACTCGTATGAAGTCGGACCTACAGGGGCAACCTCACCTTTTCCAATTCTTGGAACCGGGTGCGTGAACTCATTTCGGCTCGTGTGACTATTGATCAAATGAACCGAAGTCACGTTCTGGTCACCAACCGCGGTTGCCGAAAAATTGATAGTGTTGTGTTCAAGTTCAAGTGGCGGATGAACTGCAATTCCAAAACATTTCAATTTGAAACTCCTATCAATTCCACTCTTGCATGCAATTTCGAACTCATACACCTCAGCTTTGGTCGGCCTGAATATTAAGTGAATTTCCACTGACTCTTGAGGCAGCAAAGTTCCAAAGCCGTCATTTGGTTGGATTTCTATGTATCCAGGAAGCTTCACAAACCCAAAAGGCTGAGGGAGAATCGCTTTATTCGTCAGCGTTACTGGGACAACCACGTTCTCATAGATGCTACAATGTCCAAAGTTTATAATTTTGGGATTCAGGACGAAATCAGACGGTGTTACAATAGCAGTCACGATGAAATTCACAGGTTCGTTTTGATCTGCTACTATTATTTGGCAGGGAACTTCCAAAATTCCGGTCTCTGGATCGAAGAGATCTCCAGCTTCTTCGGCCAATTTATCTCTGGGCAGAAATTTCAGTTGAGCTGAGAAAGTCGACTGCGCCTGTATGTAGGCTGTCTTTGGAAGCAGCTCCAAATGATTTTTCACTCTTTTGTCTACTTCAAACTTTAGACCAAGAGCAATGTTGGCTCGGTTATTAACCACAATTGAGTCTTGAAAGAGTCTATCGTACATGCAAATATGCAAAGGCACAGTTTCTCTCTCGACCCAAACAGGGACATCTATGGCCTTTCCATGGGCCACTATATACAATGGATGCGACCCTGGATCCGTGAAAGACACTTCAAACTCAACCATTGAATCCCCAGGCATCAGAGGGTCGTACATTAATTCAAGTTTGACTTCTTGGAATGGACCAATTTGACCAGACCTCAAAGGACCAGTTCGCATTCCATCAATTTTGGCCATTTCTTCTTCGCTTTCGAATACACTTTGACCCATTAAATCATGATAGCTTGATCTATATGCCATCGTAGTTCCTGCAATTTCCCTGGGAGACGGATTGCTCTGATTGGCATCCCCATCGTTTTGTGGATTCAGCTCTGAGCCATCTGGTTTCTCGCCACCAGGCGATGATTCTTGTTCCTGGTTCCCTTGCTGCTCTCCTAGAACTGGATTGTCCGGAACAAGCGTAGTCGTTATTTCAATATTCTCGCCATCTTTGTCCATTCCAGATGCCAGGGAAGAGTATTCGTGACCTGAGCTAGCAGTTGCTACATGCCGTTTCAGCAACGGTTTGCGCTGGAACAGAAACTCGGTAGGCAAAGCTCCTTTGTTAACCAGAGTGAATGTTCGCTTCAAGTTCTCTCCGATTACTTCAGTCCCAAAATTCACTTGGTAAATATCCAAGCTCAAGTCGCATTTCTTAACACTGCATTTGACAGGCAAGCTTACTGGCCCCGTTTGTGACAAAAAGTCAATTGTGCCCTCCAGATTTTCATTAATCATCGGAGAGAATGTCACCAGTATTTCGCATGTCATTCCGGCAGACATTTGACCTTGAGACTCAAAATCAAGAGTGACGAAATCCTTCAAATGTTCGGAAAGTCCCACTAGTTTCAGGTAATTTATCGTATAGGATACATTGGTCAACTTGACTTTCTTCTTATACGTTTTACCGACTTCGAGGTCCTTGAAATGAACAATTTCGGGCTTCGCATCAAAAGCTACACCTTTGAACTCTCTTCTCGCCGCCACTTGCTTCTGAACAATCCCGGCTCTTTGCTTCTCCAAGGCATTGAACATCATTTCTTTTTCCATTTTGGTGTCATAAACAAGAGTATACTTCTCTCGATCCTTGTTTCCAGATTCCACTTCCCCTGACCACAGACCTGGGAATGAGGGTTTGTTCAGGTCCTCAATTTGGTACCATTCCGCTTCGTCCTCTGGTATCTGACTTGTGTCCTCAATGAAAGCGCTCACTCCCCCACCCTGGTCCTGCTCGCTGAAACTGGTTGCCGACGTCGTTGCGGTTTCTGGTCGGTCTCTATACTTGCCCATATCTGCACTCTGCAGTGGATGGTGGGAATCCATGGTATCTGTGCTGTCTCCAAGCACATTCGGATGCAGCAATACCCGCTTCATTTTTGGCTTTACACTTGAAATATTCGATTCTTTGATTGAAGATGCAAAGCTATTGTCGACGCCTCGAACGTCCGCTTGGAACACCCATGGCTGTTTCGACTTCCTTCGTTCCAAATTCTCCTCCTCTTTTATGATTTTTGACAAAATGTCAACTTCACGTTGCCTTTGAACAGCCCGGGCTTGCTTTCGTTCATTTTCGAAATCCTTCTTGCGTTGGTTTGTGAGCAGAATAGCATCCGCGTTTAAGCCTCTTGCTTCCATTGAAGTCCGTTCTGCTATCAAAGATGCCTCCTTCTCTTTCAAGTTAGCTTGATCCTTAGCTCTTTTAGCAACCAGATTTTCTCTCGTGTGCTCGATATCATTTTTCAATTCCAGAATTGTATTCATTCTGTACGTGTACTTCGATCTGCTCAAATCAGTTTCAACTTTGGCCTTGTCTTTCATTTTCTTCAGAGTATCTTTCAGGTAACTGTTTGCAATCTCTCGGTTCTGTTTCACTTCTGCAATTGCTTTCGATCTCCGTTCTTTCAGCTCTTGACGTTGCTTCATGTCTTGTTTCACACCTTGGTTCAGCTGTCGCTCTGCATTTTGAGCAAACAGCACTTCTTTTCTCAATCTGTTGCGGGCATCCATGGATTTCTCCTTTTTCAGACGATCCTCAAGAAAGTCTAATTGTTCTCTGTACAGGGTGTATTTGCCTGTAAATGAAAGCAGTCAAAATCTCAAGAAAAATTTGTTAGCTATCCCAGAAATTATAGAAAAGAGATAGAAAACTGAAGACTTAGTTAGTTTTTCCTTGCTTATGAAGCATTTATTGCATTTTCAGCAACTATTCACCTCGTTGCCATCTCCGCTCTAACTTCCAATTCGTTTCGCTCTTTCGCTTGCTTTTACTGTCTAAATGAGTTTCATTTTTAAATTTTAAGAAAAGATTATTTAAATGCCTTGCGAGTATTAGACATAATTCATGCTCAAGACCGTGAGGCAAAAATTCGTTACTGTAGACTAATCGGGGAACACTGATTCACGAGCAGTATTCCTCGTGCCGTATGTAAGCGCAGCGGAGACTCATTGCTTTTGATTAAATTTTTGGTTTTAATTTTTTAACGAAATTGCAGAATTCATTGATTCATTGTGATGCACACTCGACACTAGGAACTCTAGGGCGAATAATTTCTCCAACACGATGTTTTCTAACCTCTTTCTACGTTCAATTGAGCAAGACCAACTTGTGCTTCATCTAGACTTTCCAAAATGGTCGTCTCCAATTCTTTCTCTGCTGCTGTTTCCCGGTCCAGTTTCTCGATAGCTTTTTCCAGACTGAAAACCAAACAAAAGTGCACAATCGATTACATATATGATATCTGAGCCCCGAAAACGAGTACCAAACTTATGTGTTACCGAAGAAGTAGTTGTTCAGCTCTTCTAAACCAAATGCTTTACTATAGCAATTATTTCGAAATCAATTAGTACAAGAAAAAAATTATTTAAAAAACTAATCCTGTCCTGAAAAAATCAATGCAATATATAATCACCAACTAACCGGTGTCTAAGAGCCACATTTCCTTTATCGGCCTCTATTTGCTCCATTTTAGAGTTCCGCTCTTGCTCGATGCTTTCCATTTTGTCTCGACATTTCTGGAGTTCCTTCCAGGTGCTAGTGACCTGACCTTGTCTGGCATTAAACATCTGGTCAAGTTGCTTGAGATGTCTCCGCATTGTTATGAAGTGTATCTAGGTCAAACAACTGGTTGGTAACTCAAACCATTTTCCTTTGAAAAATTGACTATGAAAGGCCTTTCAAAAAACAGTAAATGCCGCACAATTTATCACCGAAATCGAATTGAGGTCAACGGGTATCATTGGCTATCCAATTTTACTTGCATACTCGAAACCAAGGGCTGATCTAGGACTTTCTCGAGAAGGGGGGGGGGGCAGATTTTCAAACAAATTGAAAATTTCGTCGACCTTTTTTTTTATTAGGTCGACCAAATTGATTTTCTGAGCTCTCTTAAATCACTATAAAGATCCCATTCTCACCAAATTTTCTTCGCTGCAGACAAGTTTTTGAAAAAACGGGCTAAAAAGGGCGTTTCTAGACACTTTTTGGAAATTTTTTCATGTTCAAAACACGAATGAGAGAGCTTTAATAAGGTAAAACACTGAACCAAAACCGATGATTAATTGTCGTACCTGATTTTGCGTGCAAAACAAAAAAGTATTTAAAACAAGGATAGCCAGTTACTGTGCTAGTAGCACAGTGTTCTGACCATAGTCTTATACAGACCGAATGTTCTGACCATAGTCAATTTTTCCGGCGGGGTGTGATGAAAGGAGCAGTAAAACAGGCAAATTGAAAAACAACTTTTAAAGAAAAATGACTAGAAAAACGAAAAAAAGCAAAAAGAAAATTTTTGCAGTTCTTTGAAATTTTTGATTCAAAAAAGCGCTAAAACACTCAAAACAACGAACGTAACTCGACTAAAACTAAGTTTTTACGTTTTAAATTAAGCTATTATAAGCTTTTAAGCCATTAAAATAAGCTATTGCAAGCCTGCTCGCTCGCTTTATTCGCTCGAATTAAGACGAAAAAACAAAAATTGCAAACCGGTTATTCTCGACAACGGGAAAATGTTTTTGAAACTTTCAAATGTCGCTCGAATCAAGGCTGTTAAGGTTTTAATATGATACATGACTCGACCCATTCCCATGAGTATTTGTGGTAGCTGATTTTGCGTCGACAACAAAAAAAAGAAAAAGAAAAACACCCGGAAACAAAATTCCTCCCCATTTTTCAAATGGTCGGAACACAAAATTTAAAACACATCTGAACGCAAATATTTGCCTCATTTTTCAAATGGTCGGAACAAAAACTAAAACACACCCGAATACGAGGTTCCGCCTATTTTTCAAATATTTGGAATAACAACCAACCCCGATCGAACAAAACTAAACTTCCCACAGCCGAAATCAATTATCGTTCAACCAAAGCGACGCACCACATGGCAGATCTAGTCGATTGTCTTGAATGCACTCGACAAACTATTAAATAAGTTCAGATAATAACTGATTTCCTGGGACAGCCGTGGTGGTCCCCAAATATACATGGTTCTGGTTGTTTGAGCAAGCTCACTCAGAAGAGTTCTTGATCGTTCCCCTACGGTTTAAGAAACAAATACCAAAAATTCACCTTTGCATTATCAGGACTGAGCCTCAATCTAAAAACTAGCAGTAAACTCAATGAACTTCAGCGGTTATTCACCCGTGGCTGCCAGAGAAAAAGGTAAACCATACTTTGGCACGAGGTAAACAACAGCATCACAAAACATCCCAATAACTTGACTACGAAGTGAACCCCGGAACAGTTAACCCACATTGTGAAATTTCAACAGCAGATAGAGGCAATAGTTTATTGCCGCAGGGAAGGTACGACTCACATATTCGACAAGCTACGAAAATCAAATTCTCGTGTCATCGACGTAATCAAACATCTTCTCCCCAAACAAAAGCAAGACGATATCGACACAGTAGTAGCACTCTGTCAACTCCACCCGCCTCCTGAACTGGAATAGAAGCTACTAAACAAGGGTCTTCCGAGACGCGAAAATCTTACGTATTCTGCTTAGTCAAGAATCCGACTAACAAAGAAGCAAAGAAAAAACAACAAGCCCGATCATCTTAGCGGTAAGTCTGGTTGTCTTCTGCAGCTTTATATCTTGGAGTAACAGACCGTTTCTGACTGGTTTTTCCTGAGGTTTATACCTTGGAGCCTCGGTCACAGGACTATCCTTGAGACAGGCTTCTCCTGAGGTTTTTTATACCTTGAAGTATTGCTCAAGAGGTACAGGTTTAACAATCAATCGTCCCTGCACAGTCGAGGAGTTAATTGGCATCCATGATGCCTCCCTGTAAAACTTGTAAAATGATCATTGAAGCCAAAGAACAAGTTTACCACTGCGTATCCTGTGAAACTGGCATGCACCTGAACACCAACTAGACGGGATTATCAAATATTTCCATCAATGGGAGCAAGGAACTTGGCGAGCGTATTGCCTTGTTTTGGGACAAATGCGTTGAGAACAAAAATATGGAAGAATTATTGAATCTAGGCTAGTTAGGCAATAAACTGAGCAACAAACTTGATAAGCTTGAGCAGAATCTTGAAAAAAACAATAGAAGAAAGGGTCAATTCTGCACTCGAAATATGTGCACCAATATTTTTACCAACCTATTGTGCACCAATCTATTCAACCAATCTTTTTCCCAAAAATTACCGGAACCAATGAGCAATAACTCAACCCAAACCGATGATTATTTGTCGTACCTGATTTTGCGTGCAAAACAAAAAGTATTTAAAACAAGGATAGCCGGTTACTATGCAAGTAGCACAGTGTTGCGACCATAGTCTTAAGCAGACTGAATGTTCCGACCATAGTCATTTTTCCGGCGGGGTTTGATGAAAAGAGCAGTAAAACAGGCAAACTGAAAAAGAACTTGTAGAAAAATGACTAAAAATGAAAAAGCAAAAAGAAAATTTTTCGCAGTTCTTTGAAGTTTTTGATTCAAAAAGGCGTTAAAACACTCAAATCAACGAACGTTACTCGAGTAAAACTAAATATTAACGTTTTAAATTAAGCTATTATAAGCTTTAAAGCCATTAAAATAGGCTATTGCAAGCCTGCTCGCTCGCTTTTTATTCGCTCGAATTAAGAAAAAAAGCAAAAATTTCAAACCGTTTATTCGACACCGGGAAAATGTTTTAGAAACTTTTAAATGTCGCTCGAATCATGACTGTTAAGGTTTTACTATGATACATGACTCGACCCATTCCCATGAATATTTGTGGTAGCTGATTATGCGTCGAAAACAAAAAAAAAGAAAAACTAAAACACCCGGATACAAAGTTCCTCCCCATTTTTCAAATGGTCGGAACACAAAACTTAAAACACATCTGAACACAAATATTTGTCTCATTTTTCTCAAATGGTCGGAACAAAACTAAAACACACCCGAATACGAGGTTCCGCCATTTTTTCAAATAGTTGGAATAACAACCAACCCCGATCAAACAAAATTAAACTTCCCACAGCCGAAATCAAACATCGTTCAAACAAAGCGACGCACCACACGGCAGTTCTAGTCGATAGTCTTGAATGAACTCGACAAACTACTTAATAAGTTCAGATAATAACTGATTTCCTGGGACAGCCGTGGTGGTCCCCAAATATTAATGCTTCTGGTTGTTTGAGCAGGCTCACTCAAAAAAATTCTTGGTCGTCACCCTACGCTTTAAGAAACAAAAACCAAAGTTCACCAGGACTGAGCCTAAATCTAAAAACTAGCAGTAAACTCAATGAACTTCAGTGGTTATTCACCGGTGGCTGCCAGAGAAAAAGGTAAACCATACTTTGGCACGTGGTAAACAACAGCATCACAAAACATCCCAATAACTTGACTACGAAGTGAACCCCAGAACAGTTAACCCACATTGTGAATTTTCAACAGCAGATAGAGGCAATAGTTTATTGCTGCAGGGAAGGTACGACTCACATATTCGACAAGCTACGAAAATCAAATTCTCTTGTCATCGTCGTAATCAAACACCTTCTCCTCAAACAAAAGCAAGAGGATATCGACACAGTAGTAGCACTCTGTCAACTCCAACCGCCTCCTGAACTGGAATAGAAGCTACTAAACAAGGGTCTTCCGAGACGCGAAAATCTTACGTATTCTGCTTAGTCAAGAATCCGACTAACAAAGAAGCAAAGAAAAAACAACAAACCCGATCATCTTAGCGGTAAGTCTGGTTGTCTTCTGCAGCTTTATATCTTGGAGTAACAGACCGTTTCTGACAGGTTTCTCCTGAGGTTTTTTAAGCCTTGGAGTATTGCTCAAGAGGTACTGGTTTCACAATCGTCCCTGCACAGTCGAGGAGTTAATTGGCATCGATGATGCCTCCCTGTAAAACTTGTAAAAGGAACATTGAAGCCAAAGAACAAGTTTACCACTGCGTATCCTGTGAAACTAACATGCACCTGAACACCAACTGGATGGAATTATCAAATGTTGCCATCAATGGAATCAAGGAACTGGCGAGTGTATTGCCTTGTTTTGTGACAAAAGTGTTGAGACCAAAAATAAGGAAGAATTATTGAAACCAGGCTAGTTAGGCAATAAACTGAGCAACAAACTTGATAAGCTTAAGCAGAATCTTGAAAAAACAATAGAAGAAAGGGTCATATCTGCACTCGAAATATGTGAGAAAGGCGTTGAAGATATAGTCAACAAGGTTATCGAAAAAAGGCTAGAACCCAAGATAAATGCCCTCCCCGAAAAAATTGACTCCAAGGAAAAACCAGAAAACCATCGCATGTCAAATCAAGCTTTCGTGTACGTGGTTTCCTTGAAGACCTTAACAAAAACAAAGAAGAATGCACTCCTCGCCAACGAAAAACTTAACTAAGTAATGACCCAAATAGAAGACGAAGTGAAAACAGACAAAGTACAGAGATTGGGAAAATTCGAAAAAGAGCGCAAAAGTCCTAGAAATGCAATTATCACACTGAGCAACGACTGGGAGGTAAGAATGGTACTTGCAAAAAGCGCAGAAAATAGGAAACGGATGAAAAATATTGGTATTCACATACTGCCGGCGCTGTCCATTGAAGAGACTATACGAGAAAACAGGTGCCTAAAGAAGAGGCGCGAATCACTGAACAACGGTGTAACACCAGCTCAACTAGAAATTCGTAATTTCGAATTATACATGCATGACGTGAAAGTTCAACTAGACGATCAAACACCAGAAACTAGCAACTGCAATCAGCTCGAGCACCTACGTGGCACTTTGCCTCACTGAAACCTGGCTCAACAAAAACACCAACGAGGCAGAACTGTATCAAAATGATTTTAACATCTTCCGCAGTGAAAGATAGCCTTCGAACGATGGGGCCTCACGCCATGCCGTTGTGCTGATAGCTGTTAACAAACATATTCCCGCAAACACACTCAATATCCAACTTCCCTCGTCTTGTGTGGCAGTACAAGTCCAGATGTCGACACCTATCACAATTTGTACCTTCTACAACCCACCGGAAAACAGCTTATATCGTTATACTATCGACGACTGCAGCCAGATATGCAGTGGTCTGCTACAACACAAAAATAACCCAATCATGAACTTCCCCAACACCAACTGGGAAATCAACTAGAGCCCCGACAAAGAAGAAAATGACGTACTGTACTTCATTGATCGACTAAATGCAGAGAAAATTGCCGATGTTTCTACTTGTGGAAAAAACACACTTGATGTGGTGTTTGTCAAGACTATTGGCGCGGAAACAAATATGGATAACAAATTTCTATGACCTCTTAGACCATAACCCTGTGTCAATTGAACTATCGTTAAATGTAGTGAAAACAAACCAATCTACGAATGCTATTGCAGTTTCTGCTCAGCAGATTATGATGAAAACCGCGACTACATGCTCGCCAACCTTTTGCAAGCTGAATGTCACACAAACATCATCGAATGAACATTGAATACAAAGAGTACTGCAAAAAGATTATTCAGAAATTTGTTCTACGGAAAACGGCACACCGACAAAGTGTACCAGTCTGGTGTAAACCAACCACCTCTAATTTGTTGAAACGTCTGAAAACTCAGCGGATTCTGCACTCTTCAAAACCAACATCCTACAGGAAGCAAAAGGTTCTAGAGCTAGAAAAGATTGTGCTTGAAGAAGCTGAACGCCACAAAACTGACAATCAAAACATTCTGTTCTCAAATCGGAATACAAAATTTCTATTCAAACATTTTAAATCAATGAAAAAACGGCAGAAACTCCCGATGAAATTCGGCTTGGAGAAAAAACAGCAAAGAAGATGCTAAACAAAGCTGAGCTCTTTAATTATTATTTCCAATCTGTCTATTTGCATCCAAATTCACAATTTGATTGCACCACTGGTAACCCTGATGGCGCGCCAACTTTGGAAAATTTTATTCCTCGAAGAGACGGGCATAACTAAGTCGCGAGGTCCAGATGCTATTCCACCAATCTTTTTCCCAGAAACTATCGGAACCAATGAGCAATGCGCTTCATATCATCTTCAAGGCCATCGAACGAAACAGCAATTCCAGATGAATGGAAAGTCGGAGCCGTCTCACATATCCATTAAAAAAATGAGAAACATCGTTGAAAACTGTAGGCCTGTTACCTTCTTGAATTTCTCGAGCAGGGTCTTAGAAAAATGTATGAATGGACCTCTCTATGCCCACTTCGAAAACTTTGTATCTACATGGCTTTATCAAAAACAAATCTGTACTAACAAACTTACTTAGATATCTTCGGTAAATTCATGAATCCCTTGACAACCCGAGCATTGACCTAATTGCTATCTACACCAACATTGCGAAAACTTTTGACAAAGTTCCACACACTGAGTTAATCTTCAAATTTAGGTAATTAGGTGTAGGTGGCTGCTTTCTCGACTTACTGATTAACTACCTGGAGAACAGGGAGCACTTTGTGCGGCTAGAGAATGTGCAGTCAATCAAGCTCAATATATCAAGGGGTGTAGGTCAAGGCTCGGTCATTGGCCCACTTCTCTTTGGCATTTTTATCAATGACCTACCGGAGTCATTCCTGAGTTCTTACGCGCTGTTATTCACTGATGACCTAAAAATCATCACCAGAACTGACTCAAAACTTGAAATTTCCCTTGATCTGAAAAGGCTAGAGAAATGAAGTTCGCGGACGGCAAGAATGGATTTCTTCAGTTCCGTGGAAAGATTACAAATTTCGTTCTAAACAATGAAGTTATGAAACCCGCCGCAGTCATGAAAGACTTTGTAGTACACGTCCGGTATGACCTCACCTGGAGCAGCCACATAGATGAAAAGCTCAAAAAATCCATTCGAATACTACATTTCGTCAAGCGGAACACCTCAGCAGATATCATTCCTTATGCAAAACTCTGTCTCTAGAAATCAAGGATTCTGCCCATTGTCAGCTACGCATCGCTATGTATCCATCTCACTAAAACATTAGTACATAAGCTAGAAACATTCTAAAAACGCGTGCTAAAAAGGGTGCTACATGACTATTCAACGAAATACCAACCGCTGCTAGAAATAGTCAACATGCTCCCTCTATCTTGGTCTATTAGAACTTTCAAAAATAAATCAAACATCTGCAACTGACTTCAAACTTTGGAATCTTCCATCAGTGGTCAATCATAAGTGGAGAAATTCGAGCTTCCTTTAGTAAGAACGGAAAAAGCACCAACTGGGTTCTGCTTCAAAACATGCCGAATTGCCAACCATCTACTCCCATGTGTGGACTTCTACAATCCACTCGGACTTAAAAATCGCCTTAACAAATTCTTTTGCGATTACTTCAGAAACAAATACAATCACCACAACTCCTGTACATGGCAGTACGCATGTGACTGTCACTCATGCAGAAACAACTGGAGACATTGGGCTTCATAGGAAGAGATTCCTCCAGCGACGCTGGAAACTTATAACAACAACAACAACAACAACAACAACAACAAAGTATTTCAGACAAAAGCAGTGTTTAAGAGTGCTGATCACTTTCCCAGTCCGCAAACCTTGAGGGACCCCTGATGTGATTGCAGAAAATCAGATTTCACCTCTATTAATTTTACCTGCTGAGTTATCCCTCCCAGGTAGTCCCGGACAAGCTCAAATAGTCATTTTGATATGTTGAGTTGTAACAATTCTGTTAGGCGCTGATGTTGTTTGATTTTATCGAAGGCTTTCGAGATGTCAATCAAAACAAAAAGATTGTTGCATACTACAGATACTTTTGTAGATTTGGGTCAAACTCAAAAGTAGTTGAACAACAAGACATCTTCTGGGTTGCACCCTGTATTGGTTATCGCATATCAGTGATGCAAAGCTTTCACGATCGCTTGAAACATGAATGTTTCAAAGCATTTTATAATTGTTCAACAGCGTAACTGTTCGGTAACTTAAATTTATTTTCTATCACTATCCTTAAAATTGGAGACAAAATACCAAGGTTCCACCAGACTGAAATTTCCGTAGATTTATATATTTGATAAGATTTTCAGCGACGAAGATGTAGCATCAGAAGTTTTCTTCAGCAGAATTGGTGGTATTGCATCGTTTACTCGGGTCTGGACTTTGTTATTCCGACGAGATTTCGGCTTCATTTATTTCAACTTCGATCTTTTCTAAAAGCTGTCTACATGGAGGTTCCAAGAATTGCACTGCTATTAAAACCATTTCCCATTTGACGTCTTGATGTTTCGCCGAAACGGACGAACTCAGTTACTGCAGTTGCCTCCCCCGCTAACAAAAGGCATCCCGAGGGGTCGCAGTGTGGGTTTCAGACGCAACGAAACCGCCCAACAATCTTCAAAGTGAAGTGCTTAAAAAACCGCAGTATTGAACCATTGCCTCAGCCCATTAAAAACGTTTAACGAAACTTGAAACAACCAACGCGCTGCCCCAGACAAGGGAACTTACATAGCCAACAGGCAAATGGAAAAGAGTCAATGAACCCAAGTAAACAGAAAAAAACACTGACTTGTTTTTCGAAAAAATCTCTACTTTCGAATTCCAGAGAAAAATTGATGGCCTTTAATCTCTAATTTCTAGAACTTTTTAGATAAAATTAACCCAATTTGAGAAAACTGAATCAATCGTTTAGGAGTCAATCGAATTTAGGAGTCAATCGTTTTGCGTGACTTTTACACTGTCGCTACTCGATAGTGGAATATGCCTTCTGGACTAAAAAAAAAATCAAAAATCAAAGTGCGAAAAAAAATGAGCGCGAACAAATTTTTAGACTTTTCCGGAACAAAAACCAGAAAAAAGTCATCACGAAATTTATCAGATTCTGAGCTACCTTCATCGATTCTTCAAAACCACGGTATTTACAGGAAAAACAACCAAACGTTTAATTAAAAAATCAGTTTGAATTTCTGTTTTTACCATCTTCTACCTAATTTTACCATTTTCATTTTCTCACCTTGTCTTTTTGTGATAATTTTCCGTGATCTTTATCATCGTCAAAATCCAATAAATCCTCCATTCCTTCATCGTCATAAAAACTATCTGAGAAATCATTATTGTCAATGTCGCCGTCATCCTCGTTAGTCCCAGACAGCAACGACTGAGGGTTGACTTCATCGGTTTGACCAAACTGCAATCCTTCGTCGTCTAAATACTCTTCGTCGAACTTATACTCGAGGTCATCTATTGCGTCGAGTAAATTTTCATCGACACTCAGATCCATTCTGAAAAAAAACTATTAAAATCAAGGATCTTTTTTCTGTAAGGTGTGATGAAAGGATCTGAACGAAAAAATACAATTTCACATATTCGACAGTCATGGTAAATGTGCCAGTCGGTCATATGAAGAAGTTGGGTTGCTTTAGGATCAGAAGAAATTTTTCAAAATTTCGAATTGACCTTGTCATCGCGACAACAGAAACAAAAAAAGTAAATTATAAAAGGGGCCTTCCGTTTAGGTACGGTCGTGCAAAAGCTGGATATGGCCCATACCAGCATTATATGAATACATCTGTAACATTCGCCCGGAAGATACATATCGACGGATAACAAAACTAAGTCTTAAGACGACTGGCTAGCGTCTAAACAGAGCTTTGCATGTTTTTCACCGTCTCTACCAAGCCAGTACTTTTCGGTGGTCTTTCTTACATCAGGCTGACAAAAACGTTACTGTTCTCCGGCTTCGACCAGAACGCTCAAATTAACTGAATTACATGCAAAATTAGTGAGCTCATGGCTGGGTCTCAGTATCCCCAGACCACGAGGTCACTCCTAAAAACAGGGCTACTATTTATCATATTACTATTGTTTTTGTTCAGTAGATAAAAATCATCATCTCCATCGAAGATGGATCAACCCTTTCCCCCCAACTCCTAGCACCTCATCCTTGTCAAAACTAATCAAAATATCAGTTAAATTCAAGTCAGGACATGACAGGATGCTAAAAGTTTATGTGAGTTAATAAAAGTTTCCGTCCCGAGACCCTTCCGGATTCTTGAATCCGCTGAATCAAGCTCCTTACTCTTGATTTCTTGCTAATCCGGAAGGCTGGTTCTCACCCTTCACCGTTGTTGGCAACGGCCTTGCAACTATTGTAGCAGCACAATAGTTGCAACTCGGAGCGTTCTCTGCTATTCTGTAGTTCGTTGTCGTTTTCCAATCTCGATTTTCGTACTGTTCGCAATCGCAGATAAAAGTTGTTCTGTTTTTTACTCGCTTTTTTGTTAAAATGGCCGTTTCAGCATTTCTCAGAAACGTGACGTCATCATTCGAATTTTTGAAAATTTAAAATACTAGAATATTCTAGCCCTCACCGTTTGGCTAAACGTTCCAATAACGTCGCTAATCCTTCGAAATCATCAACTCGGAAGGCTTACTGCTCAAAATTCGAATCCTGCATAAATTGCATTTTGGCCATTCTGGTCGAATGTCACATACTCCCCGGACAGTCTGGTCAATGTCCTCATTGAATCGCGCAATGTTCTAAATGGTTACAGTGTCATCGAACAGAATTTACAAAATGCACGAAATTACTTTTATCTACGTCACATCGACTCACTGCAGAATATAAATGGCATCATACTACATCACTATAGCCTTCAAATTCTTTCATTAATCTGCACATTGAGGATATGACTTAAGATAAAACATATTTTCTGACTTCCAGTGTCAATGTCCCGATTGAAACTTTTTCTCCTAGATTTAAAAGGTGTTGGCTTGCAGGACAGTCCTGCCAACCAACAAGCTAAAATTATCCTACTATGCTCCTTCCCTTCGGAAATCTTGCTTGTCTATTGTCCTGAGTATTAAAACTAAGAAACTTTGTGGTTAGAAAGAACAATGCAACAACCTCCCTCCTCAAGAAGTTACTCAAGTTTTTCATGTCACCACAAAGTTATCAGTCTTCCTAAGTGATTAAAAACAATCATGCAGGCTGGAATATTTAAATATACTCTTCCCTCAAGCCTTTCTAAATAAATAATAAGTGAGTGTCTCTAAAGCCACTTCAACTAAAACCAAAATGCAAATTTATAAATGCAACAATTCCAAAACTCAACTAAATGTTTCAGTTTTCAATTACAACTTGGTTGCTTGGTTTCTCACTTGAGTTTTTCACACACATAAAACAATTCTGAGTTTTAACTTTTCTTCATCATCCCTTTGTTTTCTTCTTTTTTCGTTGTTTAGAAGTTCTAAAACTTCTAAATTCTTCTAATTTTCTTTCTTGCTGCCTCTTGTTTTCTCGACCATTCGTCAATGCTCCATTTCCTCCTCCTGTGACACTGACTCCGCACTCTCGGTTTCCGTGTCTTGTAGCACGTCATTGACTATCCTGACGCTGTTGGAAGCCGTCCTCCAACACTTCTGCTCTTCCACCCTCTGTTTACAGCAAGGTAGGGGATCCACGTTTGATTCTCTGTTTCTACAGAAGCTGTTGTGGAGACACAACGTCACGTTTCTCTCCAAATCTTCTTTCAGCATCTCTGCCTTCTCATTTCCACTACGCTCGCTCGTCCTGGAAATTCTTTTCACAGCGGTGGTCACTGCATTCCGATGGGTCACGAAAGCTCGCTTGAAAGCTCCTGCCCCAATGTCCAGCTGATATTCACTGTACACTCTGCCATGTTTCGACATATGCTTTTTCGCATACTCGTACAACCATGCAGTCATGTTAGCTCTGAACCATGGCATCAATCGTTTTCTTGCCCATATCTTCTTCACTTCCATCGGAATGTTTAGAACTTTGCACATTGTCTCAAAAAGATCTAAATCTTTTAGACAATCTAATTTCTGCAATTGTTCTCTCGTCGGTGCCTCCTGTCTATTATTTTCTCTCACATGAGCTTCCAGCCATCGTATCGCCATCATAACTCCCACTATCACTATTGTTATGGGCTGTGATGAATCTGGTAAACCCATGGAGAGCAGCTCTCCAGAGTCCCAGATCAACACCAAATTACTACGCTTGGGATACCACCAGGTCTGCAGCAAGCAGTGGCAAGGAAACTCGTCATGTGTCAACATGATGCTCCTCCAATTGCGTTTTCCTGAAGCTTCCAGCAATGGTTCCACTTCCATCATCACTCGGTGGATTTCATCATTCTCATCTACTGCATTGTAATCTGTGACAGTTGATCCTCTCTGTTTCTGTTTTTCAAAGTCACTGAAGTTCCCGCTCACATATCCCATGAACTTCTTTCCTAGTATTGACTCCAACTCCTCTTTGGTTCTCTCTGGAACTGCTGAGAACATCTTACATAGTAACTCGTAAGACTTTTCAGACATTCTCGCCAATCTCACGCACTTTGGCACTGAGAAAGCTTGATCCACGATCGTTCTTGTACTCTTCACGTCCACAGCCACGAAATGTACAGGGTATCTGCTCTTGCACATTGGAGCCAACGTTGAACCCACCAAATATCGTGCTCCTGATGGTCTACAATAAGTTTCGCTGTGTCTGATGTTCATCTCCGTTTCGATTGCTTCCCTCCATTTTCCTATATACTTCTGCTCAGTCTGCAGAACTCCTGGGAATACTTCTACGCTGATGGCTGTGACCATCTCATGTTTCTGTTCTAGATTCAATAGTGACTCTAAAGAACCAAACATGCTGTAGAATCCTAGTGCTGTCACTAGATTCACATCGGTTCCTCCATGGCAATCTGCTATCAGTTCCGTTTCCGTTCTTGCTTTCATCACTACATTTCCAAACAATACCGTCAACTGCTTGTGTTGTTTCTCCAGGGTTTTCACACAGTCTAGACTTCCACAAACGTGACCCTCTAGTCCACAGACTTCCGCCAGACAGCTACCAGGTTTGACCCAGTCTTCTGGTCCCCAGCCAGGCAACTCCACTCTATCTTCTCCGTTGCTCTTAGAGGCTGTTATCATCACATTATATATGATGTTGAGGTCACGCAGGTTACAGTCCGCATTCAGTTCCCTCTGTATGTCCTGTGTCGCCCGTAATATTGAGTCAGCGTTGGGACTAGGACACCACGATGGCTTCATCAATTCCCACACTGCCATCAAGCTCGTTCTCAGTAATTCATCTGAGAATCCCAACCCAAATTCCACTCTCTTGTCGGATTTTGGTACTGAAGGTGCAGTCACCTCTTCTTCCAAGACCAATCCCAATTTGGCCTGTGGATTGTTAACGCTCTTAGTCGTCACAATTCTGGACGTCCAGAATCTTAGTAACACCGCCTGCTCATAATCAAAGAAGCAATCACGTATGTCTTCACTCAGGAAAGGATTGTACGCTATCCCTATGATCCCGGATACATAGCTATATGACTTCTTCTTGATCGGTCCACAGTATTCACTGGATTTCGGCAATGCTCCCATAGATTCTTTAGTGAGCCTCAACTCCTTGTTTGAGAATCTCCTGATCTCGTCTATCTTTTTCATGGGTTCCAATTCTTCAGGTTCTTTCATGTTCACCCTCATCGGTTTACTTTGCTGCATATCCAGCATTGCTAGTAAGAACATGGCTTTCGTTCGCTCATCGCCTTCCTTCAACATTTTAACACAAGTGCTTAATGCAGGTACTGAGATCTGCTCTATCAGGAATCGAATGAAACAGAGAGCGTCTCTCCGCTTTGCACACGCTACTGCTGCTCCCTCCTGGACTATCAGATCCCTCAGATTCGTCATAAGGAAAACTTTTTCCTCCTTTGATCTCTTCCTTTCTTCCGAATCATATTCTTCGCGAGTCAGTCCCATCATGCACCAGGCGAGCCTGAGTTGTAATTCTGTCCTTACGTAAGGTACTGCCACGAGAGCATGTATTCTTGGCGTAGTCCTCATTTCTTCTTCGAAATACCTCAATACTACTGCTTTCCATGGAAGGCTCACTAACTGCTCGATCGTCTCCGCCTCTACGTCAGACGACGCCAAAGTTCCATACGCCTTCTGCTTGAGGGTGGTGCCTTGCAACATCATTTCCAGATAACCCTCCGTGGCTTTTTCGTCTTCCAGGGCCACTACATACCCTCTAGCCGAGTTCCGGTATTCCAACATCTCCATGTATCCACCGGTGGGTTCATCTATCGACACTGTCTCCGACACTGTTAGTCGGTTGTATTCCACTGGTGTCAGTTGTCCTGCAACACTCCCTTTTCCATGATTCATGGGAGATGGTTTGAAGTCCCTCATTTTACTCTCTCCACATTGACTGAGTATTTCCATTTCTAAAGTTGCTCCAGTCAGAGAGCGGTCACTCCTTTT